TCCGTTCAGTTGGGAAAGATGGTGCTGGTGTGTGTTCCAGACTCAAGGTTTATATATAAGAGGTTGTCTAGATTCGTACGCAATCATACTGCGCATTACGTCACATGTGGAAAATAATACCGCCAAGCAATTCAAATTAAACAAATGCACGGAGCACCACATGGCCATGAGGTTGCGTGCGCAATCCGTGATCGCTTACGTCACGAAACACTCCTGCTCTTGCCCCTCGTCCACAAACTAAATCAAAGTATTGCAGCATAGGTACTTAGACAACCTTTAATATATAAACCTTGTTCCAGACTGGCTTCGACGTGGCGTACTGAAGTCTAGTCTGAAGGGATTCCGGTAGACCTTGCATCAGAACGTAAGAGACGCTCAAAACGCGTCATAGAATAATTATACAGGATGCCCATTATGTATGGAATATAGTATATATCTTGGTAAGTATCAACTTTACAAAAAAACATTTTATACAAAAGTTGTTTAATATTTGATTTGCCATCATAAGACATCATTCAATTGTTTTTATTTCAGAAAACAAATGAGCAACGAATAACATTTAATTTTTTTTAAATGGCAATGTACCCTTTCGTTCGGCTCATTTGATAGAGATTTCTTTTCTCTTTACGATGACGTAAAATTTTAGTACCCTTATACTAGAAAATTTTTGAAAAAAATGTAAAAACAGTTTATTAAGTTAATTTTGCCAATAACATGAATCTAGATATCCGAAATCTTATTTGTCCTAACAATTGAATGTAAGCTATTGAATGTGACAAAATCTTGTTTATTTAAATAAGTTGGTAGATCAAAAAAGAAAAATGGTTCGTTTAACAGAAACTGAACGCATAGAAATTTTAATTATGGTCGGTTATGGGGATCGCAAACGAACACAATTAGAAGTATGTGAAATTTTCAATGAGCGTTATCCACATCGAGAACCAATCACTCAATCAGTAGTTAGCAAAACTTCGAAACGTTTTAGGGAAACTGGTAACGTTAAAGATCTGCCAAAGACTGGTCCGCAGAGATCTGCAACAGATGAAGATAAAACGATCGATATTCTCATAGAAATCGAAGAAAATCCAAACATTTCAACTCGTCAGTTATGTTTAAACCATGCTCTAAGTAAAGGTTCAATACACAAAATATTACATGCAGAAAATTTACATCCGTACAAACCGACTTTATTGCAAGAATTATCCGAAGATGACTACGGTCGACGTGTTGAATTTTGTGAATTTATGATGGAGCGAATCAACAGCAATCCAAATTTTCTCAATAATATGGTTTTCTCTGACGAGGCTACGTTTTGTTTAAATGGTAATGTAAATAAGCAAAATTCTCGATATTGGGCCGCTAAAAATCCCCATTGGATGATTCAAAATCATACTCAAACACCACAGAAATTAAACGTATGGGTGGGAATTTGTGCAGATCACATAATTGGACCTTTCTTTATTCGAGGTACTCTAACTGGTCACCGTTATTTACAATTATTGCAACAGCAAATTATCCCAGCTTGCCAAGAAAATCTTGATGATCTTTGGTTTCAACAAGATGGGGCACCGCCCCACTATCATTTAGATGTACGCCGATATTTAGATACGGTATTTCCGGCCCGTTGGATAGGCAGAAGAGGGTCTGTAGAGTGGCCACCCCGATCTCCGGATCTTACACCTTGCGATTTCTTCTTCTGGGGATATTTAAAATCTAAAGTTTATGTAAACCGACCTCAAAATCTGACAGAATTAGAGCAACGAATAAAAGATGAAGCTGCAGCTATTTCTCCCAGATCGCTAAGAAATTCTTTTCAAGCCTTTTATGATAGATTGGGCCACTGCCTTGCAGTTAATGGTGAACATTTTGAACATTTATTGTCGTGAAAACCATTTTAGTGCTAATTTCGTTTTGTCTTCAAAGTTTAATAATTTTCATTTACACTAATTTTTAGTTTATTTGTTTTATTTTGTATGTAGATTTAATTTACGGTAATAATTCGAGGTAGTTGACGATCTCGGATATCTAGATTAATGTTATTGGTTAAATTTTCTTAATAAACAATTTTTACATTTTATGCAAAAATTTTCTGATGTAAGGGTACAAAAATTTTACGTCATCATAAAGAGAAAAGAAATCTCTATCAAATAAGCCTAATAAAAGGGTACATTGCCATTTAAAAAAAATTAAATGTTATTCGTTGCTCATTTGTTTTCTGAAATAAAAACAATTGAATGGTGTCTTATTATGGCAAATAAAATACTAACCAACTTTTGTATAAAATGTTTTTTTATAAAGTTGATACTTGCCAAGATATATACAATATTCCATACATAATGGGCACCTGTATATTATATATGTATAATTATTTTGTATTTTTCCGTAGTATTTGTTTATTTCATTTTACCTTTACCATTCACGCATCTACTATGTAATATATTGTAAGATATTGAAAAAAATACGCGCGAAGGTGAAATGAAATAAATAAATATTACAAACAGATACAAAATAATTATACGAAAAATATTCCAGTTCGCGGAATGCGTCTTGAGCGTCTGTTACATTCTGAGACGGAACTACCGGAATCCCTTCAGACTTCAGTACGCTACGTCGAAGCCAGTCTGGAACACAACCAGCACCACTTTTTCCAACTGAACGGAACCCCTCTCCCCCCGCATGGCTTATTTCTATTTCTTTTTAATTTATAGCACACCTAAATTGTTTTAAAAAAATTATGGGGACAAAACTTTGAAAACCCAATAACAGGATTCGACAAACACAATTATTTACCATATTTTGGTTAAAACCGCGTTAAAATCCAACCAGCCGTTTTCGACTATACCGCATCTTACTAAACCGCGATTTTCCGCGAAACTATATTGAATATCGAAAAAATTAAATATGCACATCATTAAGAACACATCAGGGTATCACCTATTCAAATTTGTTTCGTCGGATAGTTTTTGAGAAAAAAAATCGCAAAATGGACAAAGTTGCCGACACCGTCAAAAATAGGCAACTTTTTTCATTTAACTCGCGATTTTAGGAAAACCGCGGAGTCGAAAATTTTCAAATTCACATATGTTACGTAGAAATGTTCAGTGAATACAACAAAGCTAACCGCAATTTTTTTCATCCGACGGTTCTCGATATATCGATCTTTAAACTGACGAGAATTGACTTTTCAAGTTATACCGAGATTTACTTAACTGGACTTTATCTAGCGACTGAAGAACCGGCCCTTTTAGTCTAATTTAGTTCAATAAAAATGCACCCAATTTTTGTTTGTTACTCACGTAAATAAAAAATGTTAGGAAGTCATTACCTTTAAAAGTGTATCGTTTCTATGTGGAAACGGTGTTTGAATTACTGTTATAGTACGTGCTTTAAGTATTATGCACTTCTTGTCGTAGAATTTTCGTTTCCAACCGTTCATGAAGACAAAGTCTTTATATAGGATAAAAATAAACAATATTTGTTTATGTGAAATTCTTAAAATTCTTTGACGAAACGGCATCTCTGAAAAAAATAAACTTGAAATATGTCGATGATTTTCATTTCCTTTGCGACGATTGCGCAATGTGATGGTGCCTCGCGAAGTATGCGGGTCAATTAAGCGATCACTCCGGTTAGATAATTGCCCTTATTAAAACGAATGAGATGCAACAACGGGCGTAGCCGAGAAAAATTAATAATCTATCTCGAATCGGATGAACGTCGGTCGCACTGTTGCTCGGTCATGCTATTGCTCGGTTTGTTGTTTCCTTGGCATTGGCCAGGTGTGGTGTTGCGGGACGAAATTTGTTCATTTCCGTGTTGCCGGATAGAATAATACTTATTGGGACTTGTCTAACAGTATTTTACACAACATTTAACTGGCGATAAGAAAGCGGTTTTGCTTAAATACTCCATAGCGTTTCTATAAATGCTTGGGAAAACAACCACTCCTTAGACAGGGAATTTATTACCCCATTTATGCGGCGTGTGGTACCTTTTATAAGGCATCGGATAAAATTACTTGGAAATTGCTCTTTTAGTTCTCTTTGTTTTTGGGAGTTTGATTGCCTGGGGGGAAGTAACGAGTTACAGACACCGGATTTCAGAATTATTATGGAATTTATGGCAGTTTACGTAATATACGGTTAGCACGACCGTATTTTACAATATATCCCTTTAATGAGGGGCCTCTAATAACAAGGACGCTGGCCGTACCCAAAGAACTTCAGTGTGGTCTTGGCTATAAAAGTAAATAAATCTTTTATTTCCAAAAATAATTGTTTCTAATATCAATGAGTTCTTTTATTAGAGAAGTTGAAGGAGTTAGTCTTTCAGATCAAGATACGCTTCATTTGTCATCACTTCTTGTCGAAGAGTTGTTACTCCTCCCCATTCGTTGCGTTGCCTCTTGTTCCGTGGCCAGCTGCAGACAATTGGCAATTGCGCGGCCCGTTCTTGCAGTTGTCGTGGTTTGCCGCCACTAAGAGAGGACCTTAACGAGGTTAAAAATCGGTTTCAATTTAATAGATTAACGAGCCCTCAGGAATCCACTCTGCGGTTTTTCGACCGCTCCTTCTTGATTCCATTGAATCGACCCGGTTGTCATAAAATCTTCAATAAAGAAATATTTTTTACGAAAGAAGGTAAAACGTTAACGTTCGTCACCTCGCCAAAGTCACATAACGTGCAATTTTATTGAGAAACATCTACGGACAATTTGTACCGGCACTCCTTCTTCATCTCAGTTTAGTCTTTCTCCAGCAAATCGCAATTAGTCGCACTATCTCGTTCTCCCAGCGCAAAACTTAATTTCAGATAACATCCCTGTGATTAATTTTCGCCTCTGTGTAATTTACATACTGCCGATATCGTTACTATAATTAAATTCTTATGCATTTCGAATTTCCCCTTCTACTAGATTCAAATAATTCTAAATCAATCCTAATCTAACCCTACCATAAACAAGTTCCTATTAGATTAATTTTTCTTCTTTTTGCTTTTAGAGCTACACGAATTATGCAAATAGACGAAGGCTTTCGACACCAAGTCCAACTCATGAACCAATACCACCACCACGTGTTGAAAAACGAACAGAAAACACAAACGGAGGATGGTTTAAGTCTTTGGACAGGTTATCAAGAAAAAAATCAAAAAAGGTAAATATCAAATAATAATATTATTTATTAAATACAATCCAATTAATTACACTAATAAGATATCGTAATAACTTTGCTGTCATAAAAGGAATCTGTTACTTATCTAAAGTAAATTTCTTCATTTTCAAAGAAAAAGAACGAAAACAAATTTAAGAGACCCATAAACAAGTTTTAAAAACTTTAACGCTATAATCGCTTCTTTCTATAATGAACCATCTAAACTAATCAACTTTTACAGAGCGACAAAGATTCCTCTTCGGATGAAATGCCAGCTAAATCGACACCGACCAAGAACCTGAGGTTCTTCGGAGACACCGACATCGAATCCAACGATAGCTTACGTAAAAAACCTTCACTAAAAGCCCGAACCGGACTCTCAGCGAGTAAAGATCGTCTCCGTAGCCAATCCACAAGAGATTTACACAATATTTCGGAAGAAATCGTGACTACCCCGGAAATGCGACGTCATAATCACAAATCCATGTTGAATATTTCCGAATCTGATCGAGAACTTAAAGGTTCCAGAATGAGTCTTAAACCGCCCATGTCTCCGAGTCATAATAGACACAGGGAAGGATCAAGATCACGTGAAGAACGAATGAGAAGAAGAAAAAATGAAGTTAGTTCCGTTGAAAGTTCTACTGAAGGAGATAGTAGTCAACAATCCCAACGAAGTGTTGTTTATTTACATGCTCCAACAGGTAAAAAAAAAAATAAAAATTATTTCTTCTATTTAATTATCATATTTTAGTTGGTGATATCCCAGGTCCAGGTTATTTAAGAAACGGAAGACGTGCAGCATCGCGCGAAGAATTGACTTCAAATAGTTCGAGTCGTATCCAACCCCAAGTAAAAACTTTGAGTCGTTCTTTTTCAGTGTTGGCTCCTTGGAGACCAAAACATTACAAGGAAACCTTAGATATCGATTACACTCAGTATCCAAAACCGGTTAAAAATGGTAAATACGAACAAAGAGTAATGAAGAATGGATCTAGTCGTAAAGAAACTTCATCTACTTTAAAGAAGAAAGCCCAAGAAACGAAAAGAACGAACCAGAATACCTCGACATTGAATAGGAGGTCGAAAAGCAAAGAAAATGTTTCGACATTAAAGCGCGGTCAAGAAGAACCACCCCGCGGATCTAATTCGACACTTTATAAAAAAAGAGAAAGACCTGCAAGAGAAAATAATCGTTATAGTAGTAATAGAGATGATAGGAAGATGTCTTCAAAAAGTATGTCTGTCGAGTCATTAGGAGGAACGAGTAAATCCAGTAAAAAGAGTAGGGATGATAATAGAGAAGTTTCTAGATCGATTTCTATGCCAAGAGATCCAGAAAAATCTGCCGGATGGTTTAATATGAAGAAAAAGAAGTCTGGCAGCACACAAAGACTGTGATTTTGAAGAAAATCACAATTTTAACTTCCGTGCCATTTATTATTTTTTCCGTTTTTAAACAAGATGATTAAGTTCTCTCAAATTTAATGGATTTTTAAATTAATCACGATGAGAACCGTGTATTGTGCAAGATTAAAAAAAAACTTGGTGACCACATCGTTTTCTCGGTGACAAAAAGCGTATTCTATTTCTTTTTCATTACATCATATTAAAGATATCTAGTGAAAAAGAATTGGAATCGAACGGTCAAAAGGTTCTTTACTAATAGTTGTTAAGGGACTATCTAATCGTTTTTCTTTATATTTACATATGTTTTCTTTTGTGTAGATAAGCTTTAAATTCCCTTTCAAACCGTTTTATTTTGTTGTTATCAATGCTTACGACTTTCATATTTAGCTTGTTTTAATATTTTGACAGAATTTTTTAATATTTTATACATCATAAATCATAACATAATACCTACACATTATTTACAATTTTTTTCTTTTTAACTTATATAACAAAATGTGCTGGTGCTATATAATTACGAACAAAAAAGCTCCCTTTTTTCATTATAAATATGTAAATAACAAGTTTATGTAGTATACGGTTTAGGTAGAGAGTATTTTTTATATATGTTTCTTTTTTATTTTAATATAATCACTACCTTTCAATGGATAGAGAGCCGATCGTTACCAAATTACCGCGCAAGCAAATGGTAAAAAATCAAGTGTAATAAAGAAACCATCAGGTATCGGTGCTTAATTAATTTTGTAAACAGCACCATATCGCTTTTTATTTTTTTTTTTTTTCTAAATAATTTCAAACGATTTACGCAGAACTGCATTGTAACTTTAGTCGGTCGTTTTTAACAAATTATTTGTAATTATTGTGCTATATTTCGTAATAAAATCTAATACATAACTTGTTATTATGTGTTTTTTTATTTCCTTCTAATACTTCATAACAAATATGAACCCAAATTTTACATTAAATTGAGGTGAATAGCCTTTGTTGCAAAATATATAAATAAACACAAATAATTAAAACTAGAAGCAATACTAGCACTATCACTTAGTTCTAGGTATAGTGTTAGTTCTAGTTTTACACTAGCAGTGTTAATATGTAGACCACACATAACACTATACCTGGAACTAGAATCTTTAGAGACGGGCGGCTAAACCCAAATAATTCTAGTTCTAGGTATAGTGTTAGTTCTACATAGCCGTACGTCTCTTAAGACGGTTAAACCCGAATCTATCTAGTGTTAAGTCTTGTATTAGTTTTAGTTTAACAGAAATGTATCAATTTTCTAGGATCTTTATATCAATTATTTACGGAACTAAAACTACAATTAAGACTTGCACTATCATTAGAACTCACACTAGACCTATCACTAGAACTGGAAAGTTTCGGGTTTAGCCATGTGTCTTCAGACTTGAAATAGTATATTAAAAAACAAGTTTCGTAAGACGTTTGAAATGCACGAATTCAAGTTAATGAATGAGTGCTTTAAGTCTTATGAAACGTGTTTTTTATGCTATTTTTTGTAATTCGCGTTTTTATACTTTTTTTTTAACAAAAATAAAGTAAATTTTGGCAATGTAGGGAAATAGGTATGTAGCAGTTGGTAACACCGGAACACTTGAAAATAGAAACTTTGAATTGACAATTAGAAACTGTCAAAACACAAAATATATTCACCTGAAAAAAATTTTTGATGTACACCTCCCAAAATAAGAGAAATTGCTCAGAGTCAATGTCCTCATCATTGTGGACTTTGTATTCGATGCTAAGAACGTGTTTAAACATCCATAGACAAAAATTGTCACATTGACAACTAGAAAAATTAATGACCCAATGTCACCAATTTGAACTGGTTCCATAAAATGTTACTAAAATCTCATTACAGCATCGGATGCTGTAAGGAGTCTCATTACAGCACCCGTTTGAGTACTGTTAGAGCTTTCGTTACCGTCGCGAATTACAAAAATAAGTTTTTAGATCTCAAAAATTTAGTTTTAAAGAGAAAGTAATTAATAAAGCACTTTCTACTCGTTTCCTATCACAAAATATTATTACAATTGTAATTAAACACATCAGAAATATAATTTTCAATACCTGTTAGATAACTAATAAATAATTTATTATCTTCCTTATAAAAGTTTAATTTCAAATAATGTAGCGACAATTTTAGTAACTTTATTATTATCAGGTTGTCTCCCTGCATTATACCTACCTTCCACTGTCAAAGTATTCTGTCACTTCGGTGTTAATTTGTAAACAAACTAATTTATTTGTGCATGCTTATAAGGAATTTTTATTTAATATTATTAAAATGGATCATATATTCTCCGTAAGAAGAAAGCCTCCAAAAGGAATAGATTCCTTTTATCTGCAAGTTATTGAATCGTGTAATAGTAAAGCGTTCTTAACCTCAAACTGTTTTAGGTTAGACAATAGCTTAATTTGTACGATTTCTAGTACAAACGTAATTGCATTCACTACGAATACAAAAATCGAAGAAAATAACATTCGTACATATGGTTCGCATGTCTATGTAGCTGATTTGAATACTCCATGGTTAGCACATAGGTAAATATTTGTGATATAAAGATTTATTAATGTTATTAAATTGTTATATTCTTATTTTCAGAGTATATTCTAGTCCACATTTAGTTACAGTACTTCAGTGGGATTTTACTGCTGAACTTCTTCTTTTAGCTGATGAATGCGGACATATTAGAATTTATAAAAGCAAAGATCATTTATTGAATGATTGGCAGCTATTTTCTGAAACATCTCTTGATGGTGAACATATTTTAGCTGCTGCATTTTTCCATTCAGGAAAGAAGGTAGTATTTGTAAATAAAGGAAAACTTTAAAGTTTAATAATTTTTTTTTTAGATTTGTTTAAATTTAGAAAAGAAAGAGAGTTCATCTTATACAGAAAAATTCCAAAATGTTAAGTTTTCTTGTTCAGTAAAAAAGTTTGGAAGTAGACCTTGTAACGGGGCTCTTATTTTAACAACAACAGGGATGTTAGCAGCTATTTTATTACCACATCCAACTTCTCAATCACAAAGCATGATAGTTGCTACTGAAAGTTTGGCGGCCACTAGAATTCAAATAAAAACCGCTGATATTTGTTATGGAAAAAGTAATCTATCCTGATCAAGAATGAATTATTATATATTTTATATTAAACAATTTTAGATGGCCATTTTCTTTTGGCTGTAAGCAATGGGGAAACATCAACTCCTATTCAATGTTTTAATGTAGCTGTTACAAAAGGGGATGAAAAATGTAATATAATCAGTCAATCATTACCCAGTTTCTTTTTATCAGATGATGGAAAAGACAGTTTGTATTTTTTAATTTTTACATTATATTTATTAAAATTGTATAACATTTTTTATAGTAGATCATTTTAAAAATATAAAAGCTTACATTAGTCATATAAAATGGGTCATGAGGGAGGATGCTGATTCTTTAGTTGTGGCTGCTTGTTATGATGGAGGAAGTTATCTTCAAGCTTGGGAATTACATGAAAAGACATTTCCTGTACATGAATTATTAGCTGGATCTGAACCAAAATATTATAACACTGTGGTAAATTTTTTACAATGCTCTATATTTTTTGTTTATTACTAATGTACTTCCTCTTTAGATTTGGCAATATCAATCAAATTTTCAACACAACCACAAAGTAGTCTCATTAGCAACAAGTAAATTAACAATTTTAAACAATGTCTCAAGCAATTACATAGTGGCTGCATTTGCTGATAATTCAATTCATTGTTTAAACAGAGATTCTTTAAAAATCTTAGCAAGTACAAGTTTACATATAGTTCCAGCAAATGATGAACCACTTTATAGAAAACCAAGAACAATTCCTGATATTTTACACATTGATATGTCTTGGTTAGGAAATATTCTTTTAGTTATTGACGTTGATGGATTTGTGCATATGTTCAAATTGCTTCCACAAATAGACAATTTAATTCCATTAAGTGTACCATATGCCACGACAATTTTGGAATATTGTTTAATAACGGGATTAGATTGGTTGGATTTGTTGTTGGTTCTAAGACCAACCATGTTAGACGCTTTATGCGATCGATTAACAGAAAGTTTTAACAAACAAACACCAGCGACCCAACAATTTTTTTATTTACAGTATCTGTGCATAAAAACGTCTTTGTATCGATTAAGTTCTCAAGGACATAACAAAGCGATTGATTTAACGTTATTTTTGATGTTGCAAAGTATTTCGACGGCATTTAAAAGTTTATTAAGACCAAGTGAAACAAGTAGTCACGAAAAAAGTCCAGCCGATTCTTTAACAAGTAAAATTAATAATTTCACAATTAATAAAAAATTAAAAATGTTTTTTTTAGGTGTTATAAATGAAGGCCAAGGTGATGTAGATAAAGTTTTAATGAATTTGGAAGCTAAAGAATTTACTGTTGAACCATATACTTTACAAAGTCTTCAACAATTGATACAATGGGTGGCTGATTTGGCTTTAAATTTATTGGTAAAACTTCCAGATAGCCGCCCAACAGCGATGAAACCTTACGAATTAGTTAAAGATGTTAAGGCGTTGAATACGTTACGGGAAATGTTGGTTCTAATTCGAATTTGGGGATTGTTGAGACCCGCTTGTTTACCTGTTTTCACTAAATCAGATGCCACTTTGGACGTTTTATCTTTGTTGTTTCGTCTGTTGAGTCGCTTGATACAGAATGTTAATGAACCTGATGATCTTTTAATAGGTAAGTTAAAGAAATTTTTTAGTTTAGAAACTTTATTGTATTTTTATTAACATTCTTGGCGTTCATTCAATACTTTTTAAGTATCAAACAGGATCAAACAGTCTTTCTTCTTTATTTTTGATGATTTGTCTCAAGTATATTGCTCTTATTTGATGCAAACCTCCTCTTTGACGCAGACATATTCATTAAAAGTCATTTCACTCTAATACACGTCAACTTATGGGCATAACATCTATGTACAGTGATACAATAAAGTCTACATACAGCCCGGAAAATGATAATATCAGCTCCCAAAATGTAATTCAATGAAATTTTTTAACAAAACTTGTAAGAAGTCCATATTATTTCCATATTTTACATAAAAACTATACCAGGTGTCCCTCAAAAGTGGCTCACCCCCATTTTTTTTTATTATTGGTTATATAAGAAAACCATTTGGAACGCATAGTTAGATTATTACGACATGAAATCATTCTTTTTGTACTTCCGGTTATACCGGATGTGAGTACTAATTTCGCTATTTTTTTGAATCTATAATTTTTTTTTCTTCAGTTGGGTAGACAGTATAATTTCACATAACTTTTACTTGAAAAAATGTTCACGATCGCTTATAATTTTTGAAAAAAAAAATTATTTTCGTTATTTTTTAACGTTTTAGTACCTTCGGAAAATCTATTACAACTTTTGACGAATAGTAGCTAGGTTAATAGTACAAACTACGTTATGTCCCTCTTGATTTGCTATTCCTCGAGCAGTGATCATTGCTATGCTTTAGTTACTGGTTTTTTTTTAATAATGGTGTAAATTAACAGTTGTATTAAATTAGTTTTAAAAGAAAAACGCTATCCAACAATTAAATTTAATTCAATTATTGTAAGTT